TTTCAGATAGATGTTTTTAGCTTCTATTTTCTCTTCAATATCCTCGTCATAGGAACTAACATTATCAATGCATAGAGTGTGGGCTCTCAAAATATAGTAAAATATATAAAAAGAAATGATTCAGAACAATCAAAAAGTTATGTCACAATGAAAGTCACTATTTCCAAAGATCTGTCACAGTGGATTCCATTTTTTCCACAGGGTCTGTAAAACAGTATTTCATTATATCCAAAAGTTCTGTCGTCTCTATGAATGTCATTATTGTCACAAGTTCTGTCACCATAAATGCCATTATTTTCACCAGCTTTGTAAAAATGAATGTCATTATTTCTTAAGTTCTGTCACTATGAATGTCATTATTACCAAAGTTCTGTCACTGTGAATTCCAAAATTTCCACAAGATCTGGCATTATGAATGTCTTTGATCCCAGAAGTAATTGTAACGAAATTCATTCCATTTGACAGCATGAGTTGAGTATTAAATTGACTTTGATCCAACAAATGTGCAAACATAGCATCGTCCACACAACTAATCAGTCTCTGTTGCTATCATCGTCTTAATATTTATAGGTCCTAATGGATCAAGTCCATTTGTCTTCATGGCACAAGTCTATTTGTCCTATTGAAACAAGTCTATTTGTCCTATTGACACAAGTCTATTTGTCCGATTGTCACAAGTCTATTGCTCTAATGGCAAACGTCTATGTGTCCTTATGACACCATTCTATTGCCCTAAGGGCATACGTCTATTTGTCCTAATGGCACAGGTCTATGTGTCTTAATGACCAAAGAATGTTGTCTTAATGACACAAGTCTGTTGTCTTAATGGCACATACCTATATGTCTAAATGGAACAGGTCTATTTTTACTAATGGCACAAGTATATTGTTCCAATTGCCCAAGTCTATTGTTCTAATTGCCCAAGTCTATTGTCCTAATGGCACACGTCCATTGTCCTAGTGGCACAAGTCTATTGTTCTAATTGCCCAAGACTATTGTTCTAAGGGTACAAGTCCATTGTCCTAATAGCACAATTCTATTGTTCTAATTGCCCAAGTCTATTGTATTGTCCTAACTGCCCAAGTCTATTGTCCTAATGGCACAAGTCCATTTCCCTAATGGCACAAGTCTATTGTTCTAATTGCCCAAGTCTATTGTCCTAATTGCCCAAGTCTATTGTCCTAATGGCATAAGGAGATTATATTTCCTCTTGATGCACAAGAAATTTCGTTCCACACCTAAATACTGTCATTAATGTCAAACTATGAGTTGCCTGTTCATATTGTTATAAATTTGAGTATTTAAAATGCAGAGTGAAAGAGAAGAGAGAGAAATAGAGAGAAATAGAGAGAAATATAGAGAAGTAGAGAGAAATAGAGAAAAACAAAAAGAGAGAGAGTAATAGCGAGAAAGAGAGAGAAATGCAGAGAAAGACAGAGAGAAAGATAGAGAGAAAGAGTGAGAAATAGAGAGGAAGTAAGAGAGAAAGAGATATATCGAGAGAAAAAGGTAGAGGAATAGAGAGCAAGAGAGAGAGAGAGAGAGAGAAGAGAAAAAAAGAGAAAGATAGAGAGAAAAATAAAGGAGAAGGAGAGATATAGGTTGCAATCCTCTTCGGGGTCCAAGTTGCCGTAACTGTGGAGTCGGAGTCAGTAGTCCACTAACTGCTCCAGACTGATGAGTAAACTTACTGGCCGAGTGATGCATACTAATGAGTATGAGTGCAGGTGTGGGGTAATGCCCTAGGCATTTACGTCCAAAGTATGAGCTACGGCGAAGTCCAGGTGATGCCCAGGTGATGTCCAGGTGATGCCCAGGAGATGTCCAGGTGATGCCCAGGTGATGTCCAGGTGATGCCCAGGTGCCCATATGAAATGCACATAAGCAGGCATCTGTTTAAAAGGTATACATCAAATTTCCAAAAAAATGAATTATTTGTACAAAGTTCAATACATTTATACCTCTGCATTTTGTTTTCTTTATGCTGATACTAAAAATTCACAAATAATAATTTTATTCTTCATTGCTAATTTTGTGTGTGTATCTTATGTGATGCTGAAAATCAAATGGCCAAACACCTGCACCAACAAACACTTACTGGGAAAGGCTAACCAGGAGCCTATTGCTAAAGACATCATGAAGAAAATATGTAGGATAGGGCAAACCCTTCGTAAACCCCCAGATAACATCACCAGACAATCCCTAACATGGAATCCACAGGGAAAAAGAAAGAGAGGAAGCCCTAAAAATGTACATTGAGACGCGAGCTAGAGGCAGACACACAAAATATGGGTTACACATGGAAGCAACTGAAATGAAAGCACAGGACCGAGATGAATGGAAGACGGCCGATGCCACAGACGCGGTAAAAGGCCTAAGTAAGTCAGTAGGATATGTAATGCTTGTAGACTGCCTGTGCCACAGACGGGTAAATGGCCTAAGCTAGTAAGATATTTGATGCTTGTAGACTGGCCTCTGCTGACAAGGTTTGAGTATATTAAATACTAGGAGGGGCACACAGCTTCCGTTATAGTCAATACAATGAAATGATCTACTTAAAATGTATAATTAGAGTAATTAAATACATAGGTTAGTAAAGGTAATCACCCCCCTCCCACCCCCTCCCAACCCCCTCGGGTGCCAAACCGCCCCACGCTCCTCACAGTCGTATTTTTCAATTTCTAACATTTGTTTCGTTCCTACTTCGTCATTTAATCTTGACCCGGAAATCTCGCTGAACATCCCGGAGCCAAGCAAAAAAAATGTGTTTTGTTGTTTCTTGCTCACACAGATTATACAACTATGACTGACACATGAAATTAGCATTGATCGCTTACATTTTTTAAGCTAGCAAATATCAGACTGATAACATAGAAAGGTAGACTAAATGAAAATGACTATCCGTATTAACGAGAAGAAGAACATTGGCGTGCCCTACTCTGTAGTTATCTTCTTGGCCTTGAGAGTTATTATTTTTAATAACCCAGTAGATCCTCATCAGGCGGGATTTTTATATTTTGTAATAGCATCATTTAGGGGATATCTGTTTTAAGTCCAAATCTATACTGGGGCAGGGGCAGGGGTGGCGTGTGTGTGACGTTTCATGGTTAATTTCTTGATCGTATCCGCGGGCGTAGTCTAGGATTTCGAACAGGTGATTTCTCGCCATATAATTACCAGGTCTTTAATCTTCCCTCCCCATCCGCGTCGCTCGCGTCGCCCGTAAGTTATCCGTTTGAGTCACGCTGTGATGACTCATAAAAGCTGTCATGATATCGCCGGTACGTAATTGATTGTATTAAAAAAAATTATCCCCATCTTGTGATTGTGCGATGAAATATAATTACACAGCTGTCTGAGGTTAAATGATATTTTCATGTGGCTTTTTTTTTTTTTTTGGCTACTCGATGACAACAGTAAATAATGGAATTTATTAGGGAATATCCCTTCAATCAGTTTTTGCTGAGATTCTTTTGTTGGGGGTAATTAGAGATAGCTTTGAAATGACCACTGTCGTCCACACATTCAATGTGCACACACACCCACTTTTCCCCACACACACGCACTATTCACACACACACATACACACACACATAATTCCATAAAAGTTACAGAACACACACAAACGTATAGATTCGGGAAATATTTTTAACAAAACGAAATGCAATTTTTAACCTGGAGTTTTCTTGTTTCATAATTTATATGAGTTGTCAATTGTGACAAGACGATACATCTGTATCTGCCGAGTTATCATAAGACAGGATACAGCCGAGTTATCATAAGACAGGATACAGTCGAGTTATCATAAGACAGGATACAGCCGAGTTATCATAAGACAGGATACGGCCGAGTTATCATAAGACAGGATACAGCCGAGTTATCATCAGACAGGATACAGCCGAGTTATCATAAGACAGGATACAGCCGAGTTGTCATAAGACAGGATACGGCCGAGTTATCATAAGACAGGATACAGCCGAGTTATCATAAGACAGGATACAGCCGAGTTATCATAAGACAGGATACAGCCGAGTTATCATAAGACAGGATACGGCCGAGTTATCATAAGACAGGATACAGCCGAGTTATCATAAGATAGGATACAGCCGAGTTATCATAAGACAGGATACGGCCGAGTTATCATAAGACAGGATACAGCCGAGTTATCATAAGACAGGATACAGCCGAGTTGTCACAAGACAGATACAGCCGAGTTGTCATAAGACAGCTACATCTGAGTTTTCATAAGACAGGATACATCCGAATTATCACAAGACAGATACATCCGAGTTGTCACAAGACACATACTACTAATTTCTCGTGGTGTTAGTTTTACATATTAAATTTGTATGTTTATTATGTATATAGTGGCATATAGTTATACATGTTTGATTGATTGATTGGATATTTCTATAGCGCTGGTATCCATGCTACTTTAGCAAGCTCACTGCGCTCTGGTTTTCTTAAATATATTTAAACAAACACGTTTTTAAATGTTTCTTAAATGATTTTTTATCATTTCCAATTCCCGTCAAACATTGAGGCAAACTGTTCCATAATTTTGGCGCTATCGCTTCAAAAGAGCGCACTCCGTAAGACATTTTTCTGTGTTCATCCACACTGGGAACTCTCAGGAAGGACTGTGTTGAAGACCGCAGGTTCTTTAAGGACACGTGTTTAGAAATCAGTTCTTAAACATATTCCGGTGTAGAGCCTTCTATGCAGCTGTACGCCAGGGAAAGAATTTTGTAATTAATGAGCTCACTCACAGGAACCCAATGGAGATCTCGTATAGTCCTCTTAATCAACGACCTGTTATGAATGACCCCAGGAATTGTCACAACGTTGCCTTAAGACCCCCCCCCCCGCGTTAAGGACTTGTTCATTGAACAAATTTTAAAAAAATAAATAATTAAAGGCAATTAAATATTATGGTATGATAAATTTACAAAATTCTAACTTTTTTCACCCTTCAGAGATTTCAATCTTTAAATTTTGACAGACTGAAATGTACAGCAATGAGACAGACGGCAACTTCAGCGGAACAGGGGCAGGGAATTTCGGTACTTTCATTTTTTTGTAAATTACGCTTAGAGTTCGTATTTGATTCGATATATTTTGGAATACAATTAATGTAGGGTTTTACATGTAAGGCATCTTTCCGTCTTGGAAGGTCACGACCCTCTGCCAATACTCCGTACATCGCAACCTTGGACATACGACCTTCCTCCATTCGTAATACATGGCCTCTCCAAGGAATGCGACTCTGACCAATGAACGACATTTTAGATACAACTATAGAAATGATATGTGCGTAATGCAGAAGACAGCCACAAATGGAGGTGGATAGTTCTCATGTCATCTGTGGCGCCCCAACGGTCCAATAACTAAGGGACATGAGATGATGAAGATGATAGAAATTAACGACAATTTAGATACACCTATAGAAATAAACGACAATTTAGACACAACTATAGAGATTAATGACAATTTAGATAAAACGAAAGAGATAAAGGACAATTTAGATACAAATATCGAAATTAATGACATTTCAGATAAAACTATTTTTTAAAAAAAAAACGACAGTTGGCAGAAGAGGGAATCGGGCGCCACATGATGGAGACGGAAAAAAAGGGGGGGGGGATGGGGTTGCTTGCACCCTTCAACCTTTAAATTATCGTACTAATTTAGAAAAAACAAAAGAGATAAAAGAAAATTTAGATAAAAAAAACGAAATTAATGACATTTCAGAAAAAACTATTTTTTAAAAAAAAAACGACAGTTGGCAGAAGAGGGAATCGGGCGCCACATGATGGAGACGGAAAAAAAGGGGGGGGGGATGGGGTTGCTTGCACCCTTCAACCTTTTAATTATCGTACCTAAACTCAGTGTAAAGTTACATCCACGTCATCCACGTCATATTGTAACTGGCCAATTCAGGAAGTGAACAAATTTGTCACATTTCAGTTTTACTGGCAACCCTTGAATACCGCAACATCGTTACGGTGTGGACAACCTTCAGTGAACCGGAAGTAAAGAACGAAGCAGCAGTGCCATGCGCAGGAAGGCCAGAAACATCTTGTGACCCAGTGTTACAAGGTGTGTGATTCAGAAATGTAACAGTTTGAATGTCTGGGCATGTCCCTGAAGATCTTAGAAGTTAAGCCATGATGATGACATTTAATGGGGTATCTAGACCGGTGCTTCTCAAAAGTTTCACTTTGATGGACCAGCAGAAATGGATCCATATAGGATAAAAGTAATATTTTTTATACATAGTTGAATAATTTAATCCTTTATAATAACTTCAAATTAGTTCGTGGCTACCAAAATCTTCGGACGGTCAATTGACCCCGTTTAGGTCAACCTATCGCGCTAAAACTTGGCACATAGACTCGTTGCCAATGACAAAACTTTCTTTCAAATTGTCCCCCCCCCTTCCCCCCAATCACATTGTCCCTGTTTTTCAAGAAAAAATAAAAGGGGTGGGGTGGTGAAGGCTTTATGATGCCACTGCTTTCTCAACATACAATTCTGATAACTGCGCCAAATGAGATTCTTTCAAAACAATTATCGCAAGTGCATTTGGTGCGTAATATTTTATTTTGTTTTTTCTAAAATTGTTGGTGAAATAAATCTGCTGTGTAAAAGCGTGTGGGACATTTAGAATGTTTATATAGTTTAGGGGCGCGAAAAAAAAATTGAGTTTTAGAGACTTGGGGGGGGGGCAGTAATTTCGATTCTTATTAAGTGCGTTGCTTGTATGCATGTCTTTTTCAGATTTGCAGCCCCACCGACATTTGCTTAACGTTACATTTCATAAGGGATTTGACGAAAAACTTCGTTTTTAGTGGTTGTTATAAATTGAACTTTCTCTGCATTGTTTATTGATGTTGCAGTATTTTCCTACCCAAATAGCCGTATATTACCTGTCACTCTACGGCACGTACTTAGCCTACGTCATCGGCATACCTGGTAGTTTCCTGACTTGCCTTGTCCTCACTCGAATGCGACCTTTCAACTCTTCACTCGTCTGGTTCACAGCCATCAATGTGACAGGTAGAGTTTTAGTGGTGTCCCAGGCGTATGACTTAAACACCTTCACTCTTCCCTACCACGCTTTCTCACATCTTTTTCCCACCATTCTTTTCCATTAATCTTTCCCACTTGTCCTTTCCACCTATATTCCCCATCTTTCTTTCACCACAAATCTTTCCCACCTATCTTTCCCACAATTCCTTCTATCATTCCAATCATCTTTACAACTATTTTAGTCCACCTCTATTTCCTACCTATCTTCCCACCTATATTTCCCTACACGCTTTACCACTATTTTTTCCCACTTTTATTTTGCCTATCTCCTAAGGTTTTACAGAATATCTCATTTCGACAATAATAAGTCAGCAATCTATAACGCCATAAAAATCAGTCAGCCATCTTTAAAGCCTTAAGAATTAGTCAGCCACCTTTAACGTCCTATCTTTATTTTGTTTTGTACTGACGACATTTCCAGGTCTATTCAATCTCTCCATGAGGTTTGGCCTAAGCGTGCAACTAATTTTCATTAATATTGAAGACTGGAGTTGCAAGTTTTTGTACTTGATGGCCCCGATATCTGAGTACTCCACCCATTTGTTTCTAGTGGGTCTGACCGTGGAGAGATTCATCGCAGTTTGGTTTCCACTCAAAATGGCCGTCTGGTGTTCCATAAGACGCACAGGTAAATGTTGCTGTAGACCAGTGCTTCCCAAACACTTAGTTTGTCAGGCCCGCAGAATTTAATCACATTTTAGGCATGATACTGAGGTCAATATTTTTTTTTAATTGCAATTCTTTCCCCTTTAAAACATACGAAAAAATATTGATCACATTTCCCTGATTCGGCGAATATTTAGGTCAGGTACGGAAACTGATATGTTGAATGTGAGTTCATAGAATAAATCAGGTAAGAATACTGCTATGATGAATGTGAGTTCGTAGAATAGGTCAGGTAAGGAAACTGTCATGCTGAATGTCAGTTAGTAGAATAGATCAGGTCATGAGACTGCTATGTTTTTAATGTGAGTTTGTAGAATAAATAGGTCAGGTAAGACTACTGCTATGCTAAATGTGAGTTCGTAGAATAGGACAGGAATGACAACTGCAATGCTAAATGTTGGTTCTTAGAATAAATAGGTCAGGTAAGAAGACTGCTATGTTGAATGTGAGTTTTTGAAAAGGTCAGGTAAAAATACTGCTATGTTGAATGTAAGTTAAGGAATAGGTCATGTAAGAAGATTGCTATGCTAAATGTGAGTTCGTAGAATAGGTCAGGAAAGAAGGCTGCTATGCTGAATGTTATTTAGTAGAATAGTTCTTATAAAAAAACTGCTATGTTGAATTTGAGTTCTTAGAATAAATAGGTCAGGTAAAAAAACTTCTATGTTGAATGTAAGTTCATAGAATAAATATGTCGTAGAATAGGTCTGGAAAGAAGGCTGCTGTGCTGAATGTGAGTTTTTGTAATAGGTCAGGTAAGGAGACTGCTATAATGAATGTGAGTTCGTAAAATAGGTCTGGTAAGAATACTGCTATGCTGAACGTAAGTTCGTAGAATAGATCAGGTAAGGTAACTGCCATGCTCAATTTTTGTGCGTAGAACAGGTCAGGTAAGGAGACTGCTATGCTGAATGTGAGTTCTAAGAATAAATAGGTAAGTTAAGACGACTGCTTTGTTGAATGTGAGTTTGTAGAATAAAAATATTAGGTAAGAAGATATGCTGAATGTGAGCTCGTAGAACAGATTAGTAAAGGAAATTTCTATTCTTAACGTGAGTTAATAGAATAGGTCAGGTAATGGGACTGCTATGTTGAATGTGAGTTCGCAGAATAGGTTAGTTAACGAGACTGCTATGCTGATTGTGAGTTTGTGGAATAAGTCAGGTAAGAAGACTGCTATGCTGAATGTTAGTTCGTAGAATAGATCATGTAAGAAGACTGCTTTGCTGAATGTGAGTTGTAGAAAAAGTCAGGTAAGAAGACTGCTATATTGAAATTATTCTAAAATCGGTTTTTGCAAGTAAAGGAACTATATTATACAAACTAACCTTCGCCAAAGAAGTCTTCGTACCAGACCTATTCTAAGTTCCACTAATTGTTTCCCTAATTTTTCTATTAATTGTTTTAAATAATGTTCTACTAATTTATCGTCTAATAGTCAACTAGTGTATCTGCTAATGCTCTACAAATTGTTCTACTAATGTTCTACTAAATGTTCTACCAATGTACTATCTGTTTAAATCCAGTTTGTGCTATCGTCATCATTACCATCATTTGTGTTGGCCAGTCCATCTATGTCATAGAGGTCTACAGACTTAACGCTTTAGGTCTTTGTGTATTGAGGGCAAAATATGCAGACTTCTGGGAGAGGTATGTCAACTTTAGATCTTTGTGCATTGAGGGGAAAATTGTGCATACTTCTGGGAGAGGTATGTCAACTTTAGATCTTTGTGTATTGAGGGCAAAATATGCAGACTTCTGGGAGAGGTATGTCAACTTTAGATCTTTGTGTATTGAGGGCAAAATATGCAGACTTCTGGGAGAGGTATGTCAACTTTAGATCTTTGTGTATTGAGGGCAAAATGTGCAGACTTCTGGGAGAGGTATGTCAACTTTAGATCTTTGTGTATTGAGGGCAAAATATGCAGACTTCTGGGAGAGGTATGTCAACTTTAGATCTTTGTGTATTGAGGGCAAAATGTGCAGACTTCTGGGAGAGGTATGTCAACTTTAGATCTTTGTGTATTGAGGGCAAAATATGCAGACTTCTGGGAGAGGTATGTCAACTTTAGATCTTTGTGTATTGAGGGCAAAATATGCAGACTTCTGGGAGAGGTATGTCAACTTTAGATCTTTGTGTATTGAGGGCAAAATATACAGACTTCTGGGGAAGGTATGTGAACTTTAGATCTTTGTGTATTGAGGGCAAAATATGCAGACTTCTTGGAGGGTTAAGTCAACTGTGGTGTGTATTGTTATTTTTCTATGACAGAAACAGCACATCACAGAGAAATACTTGACATAAGTTGTTCATCCTTTACAAATAGGGACATACATTATAAGAACATGCATCATAGAAACATACATTAGTGGTATATGGCTGTTGTTCTCAAACTTCCTAGTTCCGTGACCCTTTAATACAGTTCCACTTGTTGTGGTGGACCCCCCCCCCCCAAACTCATAAAATTATTTTCGTTACTTCTTCAAAAATTGTGCTTCCCTATGGTTTAAGTTGACCCCTGCGTAAGGGTCACTCGACCCCCAAAAGGGGTCGCGACTCACAGGCTTATATAACCGCTGGCTTATGGGGACATACAGTATTTGTTTCAATTTGTTATTATTAGACATAAAATATCCTTCAATTGGCATCGATTCATAAGATAGGATTTTGCTTTGCCCAGGGGTGGCGAGGGGTCCATAGTGATCCGCTGTAGCAAATTCATTTGTTACTTTGTAAGTTCAAATTCATTGGTTACTTTGTAAGTTCAAATTCATTGGTTACTTTGTAAGTTCAAATTCATTGGTTACTTTGTAAGTTCAAATTCATTGGTTACTTTGTAAGTTCAAATTCATTGGTTACTTTGTAAGTTCAAATTCATTGGTTACTTTGTAAGTTCAAATTCATTGGTTACTTTGTAAGTTCAAATTCATTGGTTACTTTATAAGTTCAAATTCATTGGTTACTTTGTAAGTTCAAATTCATTGGTTACTTTGTAAGTTCAAATTCATTGGTTACTTTGTAAGTTCAAATTCATTGGTTACTTTGTAAGTTCAAATTCATTGGTTACTTTGTAAGTTCAAATTCATTGGTTACTTTGTAAGTTCAAATTCATTGGTTACTTTGTAAGTTCAAATTCATTGGTTACTTTGTAAGTTCAAATTCATTGGTTACTTTGTAAGTTCAAATTCATTGGTTACTCTGTAAGTTCAAATTCATTGGTTACTTTGTAAGTTCAAATTCCCTTTGGCCTTGGTTGGGTTACCGGGTGGATCGCCGCAAGGGCGTAATATACAGGGGGGACTTGCATCCTGGCACCTATACTCTGTAAAAGGAGGGGAAATCCTGGAGATGGAGCTCTCGGTGAGGAGGTGGGGGATTCGTATGAGCTTCGGATAGGGTGGCTGACGTCATTCCTTCTGCAACAAATTTTTTCGGTTTTACCCTAAAATCTTGTTAAGCTTTTGGTTTCGGTTTTGGCCGAAAGTAATTTTTAACTTAGGCTTTGTTTTCGGCCCAAATCAGAAATTCCCATTCCGCCAGTCTCTAATGAAAGATTTATTAAATTGAATAAGCAATTCTATCCATATCCAACAAAAAAAATATCCAGTCAGTAGATTCACATGCGGGGGGGGGGGGGGGGGGTCTGAAATGTGACTGACGTTAATGGGTTTGATTCCAATTTTGTCTAATATTATCGAATTACGAACTCATGAAAAACTTTTTTTTTTTTAAACTTGGCGTATAATATTCCTTAATGTAAATGAGTTCCTCTTCAATTTTTGAGTTGAAAACTATTTATTTTTTGGTTATTCTATTTTTTTTTAAATTTTACCAAATTCCTAAACTTTTCCTTATTCAGCATCTACGAAATGGTCATCATTACAACCGAGTTTATCTTGATCCCCATTCTCGTCATAATTGTCCTGAACATATTGATAGCCAATCGGATTAAACGAGCCAAGCTGCTACATCAACGCAACTTAACAGACGCCCAAAGTTCGGATAAAGTAAGGCAGCACTCACAGGTGAGACTATGTGAATAATACACTCGTGTCTTACACTCGTCATCATACAAACAAGTCCCTCCAATTAGCACGGTCACTCTAATTTACCCAGACGCTAAAATAATCTGTTAAGCACTGACATCTTTTGTGAGAAATTAATCTCTTGTTTTAAGTTATGGCTTGTTCAAACAGTGCACAACAAAGGACGATAACATATAGAAAATACAATAGCAAAAATACGACAACCAGAACAGTTGCTAATTACAATTAATAAGATTTATTTAAGTATTAATATAATTACAAAATAAAAGAAATATAATTACAAATCATCAACTTACAGAGTATGGTAAATCTTGTACCGGTACACAATTAGTACAATGTGCCAATTAATTATGATGAATGATCAATGCGAATAAACACATATGAGTACACAAAGAATAATACACGTCTCATGAAGTTAAAAATATATATCTGAACCTCTGTTCCTGTCAATCCCTTATATATGCAGCGTACGCACTGCCTTCCAGAAACTACTCAGACATTGTTTACGTTTCTCAGCAAATCGAGAACGTTCGACAAGAGACTAGGAGACAGACTAACCATGTTTAATTGGTAGTTGATAGTAAACACGACACATCAAAGAGATTAAACCACGCCCACAACAAACGTTAGGGTCTGCTAGGAATCTAATGTGGGGTCAAACAAATTTCACGGCACGGGGAAATCCTACATAACATAATCCCAATTACTTTAATGTACCTGTAATTTCAGATACACCTTTCATGTCAATCCAAATTACGCGTTACCCCAAGTCAACCCAGGCTCACCATCTAGCGCCAAGTCACTTAATCCTCACCGACTACACCCCAAGTCAACACAGGCCCACCATCTTTGGTTGTTCGTTAGTTGGGAGTTGACCATCACCACTTTAATATTCAGAGTTTTTGCTTGTTCTGTCTGTGGGTACGCAGATGGCTAATGAGGCCGATTCTGGCACGAAATTCTCTTGTGCAGTAGGTGCAGGGGAATGATGGCGTATCTCCAGGAGCAGAGTCAGACTGGTGCTTTACGGCATGTCTCTTGCGCTCAGCAGCCGCTGTTCTGCCAACTTCATGTTGCATCGAGTTCCTGTGTAAAGTGGAACGCAAGGAGATTCGATCCTTTGCTTTTTCCTCCCATGTGTCTGGGCTTAGGTCCAACGCTTTCAGTGAGGCTTTTATGTTGTCTTTAAGGCGTTTTTTCTGTCCGCCAGCAGACCACTTTCCTTGTTCAAGCTCACCATAGAAAATTCTTTTGGGCAGACGGTAGTCTGGCATTCTCACAACATGTACCGCCCAGCGAAGCTGGGACTTCATCAAGATTGTGAAGATGCTGGGGAGACCTTCCCGTGTGAGCACCTTAGTGTCTGGGACCCTGTCCTGCCTGTGCGAGCACCTCAGTGTCTGGGACCCTGTCCTGCCTGTGTGAGCACCTCAGTGTCTGGGATCCTGTCCTGCCATTTAATGTTTAGGATTTTTCTGGTGTATGAAAGTGTTTCAGCATTCGTGCATGGCGTTGGTAGACCGTCCACATTTCACGGGCAAAAAGCTAGGTAGGAAGAACAGCTGCCTGATATACTTTCAGTTTAGCTTGAGAGCTGATACCATCTACCCCCCACCCCCAAGTCAACCCAGGCCCACCATCTACCACCAAGTCACTCAGTCCTCAGAACTCAGGTTCACCATCTATCCCAAGACAACCCATGCCAACCATCTATCCCCAAGACAACCCAGGCCCATCATCTACCCCCCAAGTCAACCCATGCCAACCATCTACCCCCAAGTCAACCCATGCCAACCATCTACCAACAAGTCAACCCATGCCAACCATCTACCCCCAAGTCAACCCAGGCCAACCATCTACCCCCAAGTCAACCCATGCCAACTATCTACCCCCAAGTCAATTCATGCAAACCATCTACCATCAAGTCACTCAGTCCTCACCATCTACCCCCCAAGTCAACCCATGCCAACCATCTACCACCAAGTCACTCAGTCCTCACCATATACCCCACAAGTCAACCCAGGCCAACCATCTACCCCCCAAGACAACCCATGCCAACCATCTACCACCAAGTCACACAATCCTCACCATATACCCCCAAGTTTAAAAAATTAGAATCTTCATTTTTTCATAGTGAATTTTCAAGACTTTCTGACAATGGATTAAATTGAAGATTTTCATTTCAGATCAACCGGATGTTGACGGCTGCATCCATAACGTCCATAGTTTTTCTTGCACCAGAGATCTTCAACCGTTACAGCGTAGGTCCACTTCTTACGTTAGAGGGTGTCATCGATGGGCACACATTGCGTAGGGCTCTGGCCGCCTTGTCAAATGTATGCAGCTGCTTCAAGGTGTACAAATATGCGGCCAATTTTATTGTCTACTCTTTGGCGGCTCAAAAATTTAGGTAAGGAATTGTTGATATGTCACCGCTGGGCTGAATTGTGCTTATAAATGTACTCTGAACTTTCAACCAGGTAGTATAGAGTAGACGAGACCAGTGGATTGACCAGATTGTATAGAATAGACAGGACCAGGGGATTGAACAGATATTATAGAATACATTTGACCAGAGGATTGACCAGATAATTTGCAACAGACTTGACCGGAAGTATGCCTGACTTTGATTGAGGCATTCGATGATGTCCAGGCACCAGGAAAGCCTCTCATTAACCATTCTCTGAGCTACGTTCCCTTGACACGACGTGTGCATGTTCACCTCTCACAACGGGAAGCAATTTGTTCTTACGGTAATCACCTTCTTTTGTCTCCTCCACAGGATGGGAATTGTAAGGTTGTTGACATGTGACAAGTATGGTGGAGGCGTAAAGAGAGGTGGCAAGCTGACCAAGAAACATACCAACTGGGCAATCAAGTGATAGGCCTGGTGTATGTTCCTGGTATTGGTGTCAATCAAGTGGTGGACGTGGTGTATGTTCCTTTTATTTTGTTCCATCGAGTGTTGGGCCTAGGGTAGGTCGCTCTCTCAGCCTGACCACCAAACGCTCGTTGGTTGAACATTTATTATTTCTTAGTATGTTTTTGTTGATTAAGACTATAGAGGAATTAACAGCTTCGCTATAATCGTCATCACGTATGAATCTAAATTGTCAGATGAGCAATGCAATAAATAGTAAAGATACATTTTAATGAACGCTTTATTTCCATGTGAAAATGGTGGAAGGATGATCAAACACAATGTACTATAAGCATAAAAATGTTGACAGGTTAATTCAAATATAAACAGGTCTAAGGTAAATGAGTTTATGGTATAAATAATTTGTACCACGGGCTAGAAAATGTTATTTTAATGAATATCCTTCAAGGTAGATACTTTTTTAAAGTATAATTTGGGATTTGAAATAATAATTTAGTTTATTATCTCAATTACAGCCGTTTAATAGAATCACGAAGAAGCCATATGGATAGCCAAATTTACCATCCATTAGGTATATAATAGCAACTGTACCATCCATTAGGTATATAATAGCAACTGTACCATCCATTAGGTATATAATAGCAACTGTACCATCCATTAGGTATATAATAGCAACTGTACCATCCATTAGGTATATAATAGCAACTGTACCATCCATTAGGTATATAATAGCAACTGTACCATCCATTAGGTATATAATAGCAACTGTACCATCCATTAGGTATATAATAGCAACTGTACCATCCATTAGGTATATAATAGCAACTGTACCATCCATTAGGTATATAATAGCAACTGTACCATCCATTAGGTATATAATAGCAACTGTACCATCCATTAGGTATATAATAGCAACTGTACCATCCATTAGGTATATAATAGCAACTGATGATGCCAGAATTTTCCATTTTGTCACGGACTTCCCAAATTATTCTTTTTTATGCGATCAGTGGGCCAAACTGTTACACGCCGTGTTACAAGTACCAACAAGTACCAACAAGTACCAACAAGTACCAACAAGTACCAATAGAAACAACACTACTTGCTGACTTAAAATAAACCTAGCTAGATGTAGCCCGCCAAACTTTAGCGGCAGCAGTGCGTGAACTTCCAATCATACACTAAAGTTACTTAACAAAACATGAACTCAAGTAACGCACATTTAAGAATCCTAATTTTTTTTACTAAACCCCTTCCCTTATGATACGTCACTGCACACTTTTTATTTCACGCCAGTGAACTATATTAATATTCTCATGTCCCAACCACTTTTAAAACGAATTTTTTTTTACACAATACTTAAATTGAGACGGTTTCATTTCCAAAAAGAAATTATTACGCACCAAACGCAATTGCGTAATTAAAAATAGGTATATATAAATTTAGCGTAGTTATCGGGAATTATATTTTGCACGCTAGTGAACTCATTATAGAACCACGTATCCATAAATAGCCTGCTTGGTGTCTGACCCGTGTTTGTGTTCGACCTTTGTTGGCGACTTATTTCTATAGAAATGATATTCTGTCAAACTACAAGTCTCGGTAAATGAGGTTATTGTCATGACTAGAAAATCTTATACACATTTTGGAAACCTTACATACTGGCGTCTAATTTCACTTTAAAAGTAAGTCCAGGGGAACAGGCGAGAAATTATTATATTATTCATAAATCCAATGGCTTCCTTTTTAAGATTGTCACAGATTTCATAGTTACACTGAATGTTGTTGTTTTTTTTGTTTTTGCGCGGCTTAAAAAAATGAAATATTATCTACCTTTTTAAAAAGAAAAATTACAATGATCAAACATTGATCGTCGGGTGGAAGCCTACACATTACTGCTAGCAGGGCTGGTGCCGGGGGGAGGGGGGATGCTGGGCCGTTGGCAAATTTTATTTGCGGGGCCGTTGACGTTATATATTCCGCCAATAGGATATTAAGACTCGTTATAGTCCTACTGGGGCTTTGCTGGTCATACTAGGACGCGTCATAACGGATATTTGTTCACTCGCTTAGTTTACGAACTTTCTATTTCTGGATTAGGAATTGTTAGTAGGCTTAGGTATATCATGAATATACTACGTCAACGCGCGGGCCTTCGCCATCCCCTAGCGCCGTCCCTGCTGCTAGGCTGCTGGGGTCTATGGAAGACATGGCAAATATGTTCAGCTTACAGTTGTATGATATCCTGCTAATAACTTTTGGAGTATTTTAAAGTTGACTTCTAGGATACATTTCTTTGGGCCCATTTATTGAATTACTAACCAATGTACCCGGCCCTTTAGCTACAATCGAAACAAAGGGCCCTGTAAAAAAAGTGTTGCTATAGTAAACAATTTTTTTTTATCATTTATAATAAATTGTGTAAACATTTCGTCCCCCAGTGGTATCCTATTCCCCGATGGTACCCTATTCCACAGTGGTATCCTATTCCCCGATAGTATCCTATTCCCCGATGGGATCCTGATGCCGGTGGGATTCTGATCTCGATGGGATCCAGTACCCGCTGGAATCCCGTTCCTGATGTGATTTCGTTTCCCGATGAGATCCTGTTCCTGGTATTATCCCGTTTCCCGTCGGGATCCCGTTGCCGGTGGGATCCTGTTCCGTGATTGGACTTGATATTGAAGGTTGTGTTTACAAACTTGGTCAAACTCCATCTACCAACGTAGAAGCAAACACTGTTGTATAAGCCTTTAACTTCTTTTATGTAACCAGCCTAGGCCATCCTAGGACGTACACTGTTGTATAAGCCTTTAACTTCTTTTATGTAACCAGCCTAGGCCATCCTAAGACGTACACTGTTGTATAAGCCTCTAACTTCTTTTATGTAACCAGCCTAGGCCATCCTAAGACGTACTGTTGTATAAGCCTTTAACTTCTTTTATGTAACCAGCCTAGGCCATCCTAAGACGTACACTGTTGTATAAGCCTCTAACTTCTTTATTGTAACCAGCCTAGGCCATCCTAGGACGTACTGTTGTATAAGCCTTTAACTTCTTTTATGTAACCAGCCTAGGCCATCCTAAGACGTACACTGTTGTATAAGCCTTTAACTTCTTTTATGTAACCAGCCTAGGCCATCCTAAGACATACTGTTGTATAAGCCTTTAACTTCTTTTATGTAACCAGCCTAGGCCATCCTAAGACGTACTGTTATATAAGCCTTTAACTTCTTTTATGTAACCAGCATAGGCCATCCTAAGACGTACTGTTGTATAAGCCTTTAACTTCTTTTATGTAACCAGCCTAGGCCATCCTAAGACGTACACTGTTGTATAAGCCTTTAACTTCTTTTATGTAACCAGCCTAGGCCATCCTAAGACAAAATTAATTTAGAACTTAGTAGAAACGTTCAGACTCATCTTTTAATCACATTATACGAAACTCGGTGAAAGTAAATGAAACATAATAAAGACATTTATATCACACTGAAACAGTTATAGAATAACCACGAATCCATTTAAAAACATATGCGGAACAAACCCAGTAACAAAGAAATCCAAAACAAACAAATTTTCACTTATATATATATATATACAGTGCTTTTTTTGTGCCGGTACTCACCGGTACGGTGTACCGGCACCTTTTTCAATGTGGGGAAATTTTTTTAACTTTTCTTGTATTTTAACGTTTATTGTTAATTTACTATATTTTTAATTTATTAAAATTGAATTATTTTAAAATTGTGCACAATAAGAATTAAAATATAAAATGCGAAACTGCTTTCCGAACACACTCGTAATGTTACGTCATTGGTTATTAACATATTTCTGGTCATGGTTGTTTTTAAGACGTAATGCCTTTAAAATTTCAAAATTTGAATGTAATAATTCAGACTTAAAGAAGTTAAAACGAGCGCAGTTAGAAATTGATAATTTAATTAATAATTATTTCATAGCCCACTTTTGAAATGAAGAAAATTTCTGATTTCTTTTCGCATTCAATCGATGTTCCGACTGGGACTTTGCCGGTAAATAAGAAAACCAGACTGACTGAAGAAAGAACGGCAGAAGCCAATGTCACAGAAGAAACCCTAATGGAACTGTCGGAACCAAAGCCGTCAGATATCGTTCTTGGTTCCTCTGTTACTTTTGAACAACTGCAGCCTGCAGATGTTAGTTGGCCTACCTGCTGGACTTTAGATCAAAGAAATTATTTCCTTGTGAAATATGATTGGTATGATTTATCCATAATAAAAAACTTGGTTGTATCCCTTGCTGAAAAGTTTGCAATCTTGGAGTCGAGGCAAAGATGGGAATGAAGGTATCGAACGAATGGGCCGACTGTCAACTCCTAACGTCTTCTTGGATTGATTACATTCGTCAGTTCTTTCATACGTTGAAGCGTCGTACTATTCTCACTATCAATTAACAAACTCAACTCCTTTTCATAATAACTATAACTTTAATATCTAAGTAAATATAATAAACATCCTATCACTCCAAGGTTCCACTCAAGACTGCCGCACTACTAAAACATACGTCACAATACTGCATAGACAATACGTCACGACACAGCATAAAAATACGTCATAAAGACAATGGCGGGAAGAGCGTTCACTAACTATAATAATCAAGCGCGGGAAAAGCGTTCAACAACTAATGAACATAATATTGAGTCGCAACAATTACTAATGAACGCTCATGCTCGAAACGGACAATAAAATAACTTACTTCGGTACTAATCGACAACAAAAGCTTATGTCTTTAAGAAATAAATTATTCCATCATAAAGAAACTGCGGCACACAAAGCTGCGCTTAAGATCCTAACAGAAGCCGAGGCAACACCTATTGAGAACGTGTTCTTAAAGGCATTAACTCGTGAGAAAATAGTAACTGCAAAGATTTTTCGTACAGCATATAAAGTAGCCAAAGAAAACCAATCGTTTCATAATTTCGAATCTGAAATAGATTTTCAAGAACTAAACGGCGTTGAGATGGGCCGTATTCTTCATTCAACCAATGCTTGCATAAATGTAGTGAATCACATTAGTTGTGAAATGAGTAAAAAATTGTTACAAGAAATTGTACGGTCGAACAATAAAATTTCATTGATCATCGACGAATAAATGTCATTGATCATCGACGAATCAACTACGCTTAGCCAAAAATCGACTTTAATTGTGTATATTCGTGTTTGT